AGGCTGTCCCCATGTGTCCAATACAGGGTCCAGGTTGGTTCCATTCCTCCTAACAGAAAGCCACAGGCAAAAAACCTGATAGTTGGTTTTTCACAAGATTTCCATCTGAGAGCAGGGGACCAGGTTAACGTAGAATAATTTATTCAGAGACTGCACAGACATGACCATCACCCAAGACACTAGCATAAATAAAATGAGGCATTGCCTGGCTGGGAGGGGTTTGTCTAGACAGGGACTCCTATTTTCTTGCCAGTGTTCAAAAACCTGCAATTGTAAGCATAATACTATTGTAATGATTTTGAAGATATCCTGTGTCCTAGGATGTACGATAAAGAAAAGCAGTTTATGTAGAAATATCTGCATCAACACAGAAAATACTCTCCAGCAGAGAGATAGATCCTACAGATATGGGTACTAGCAAAAAACTATGGCAATGCTGGGAGTGGGAAGGGTTATGCAGAGTGGTGTGAGACTTTGCATGGTGTCCAATCATATGGAAGTGGAGTGTACCCAATAGTCTAAGAATTAATTCACCTGTGCCCTGTGATGATTTAGAAATCAGAATTTGTCCCACCCACTGAGGGACACAGGAAGTCATTAACTGTCAGGATGTCCAAATGCACTCCAGCTGAGTGTTGAGCAATAGCCAAACCACTACAAAAAGAAAGAGGAAAAAAAAAAACAATTGGGGACTAACTGCAGCTCAAAGAGTTGTCTGATTGGCTTTTTGCCTCAAAGCTGAGTTCTGAACATCTACCTGGTAGGACTTTGAATATATGAAACAGAAGCCCATGTTTATGTTGGATAGGCAGCGCTGAAGGGGAGTCTTTCCAGGTAGCAAGTTGGTGTGATTGGTAACCAGGCAAGGCTTGACAAAAGAATTGAAGCCTGAAACGCATTGCCCAATTATGCCACCCTAGTCTCCAGTAGGAGTTCCCTCCAACGGTACCCTTCATGGCGTACATGTTGTCAGCTGTAGTCTGCTGCTGACAGTTAACAGTGTCAGGACACTTTTTCTTGCCGACTTATCAGTGATTTTTCCTGGCTGTCTCCACTATATCTGAACTCTTAGAGAACTGTGGATTGAAGCATGGAGTTTACATATTGTGGGTTGAGCTGCGAATTTTCATTGAAAAAAAAAAAAACTTGTGAATTCACCAATACATCACTTAAAGCTGAACACCAGCCGGTAGTAATTTAAGAAGCCCTGCTCCTGCATCATGTGATAATCCTAGTAAACACTTGCAACAGAAGCTGAGATCGTACATTACAAAATCATTCAACATTATCACAAGATCCTAGCGGTTCTTGTCCTCAATGAAAGCTTGGGGAGTGCATCATGGGATCTAACATACACAGTCCTGCAAACTACATCTGTCAGGAGCCCTCTACATTCAAGCAGGTTTGCTCTTGGGAGTGCATTTCAGCAGGAATAGACAGAGCACCCTGCCTATAGCTCTGGTAAGGTGCTCCTAATGCAGCCAGTGCCAAAGTAGTGACATTAGCGCTACATGCACTGACTACTAGGAGGCACCCAGCACGCAGGCACCCTGCTGAAGTGATTGTTCTTAATTACAAGAAGTGCCTGGCTGCATGCAATTTCAAGCAAAACTTTTAGAACAGATTTCAAGCATCTATAAAGTCTAACATCGAAATGGAGACCAGATTAGGTAAAGTTGCCCTTGCAGCTAAACGAACACAAAACATTAAGAGTCTGAAATTCTAATACATTTATGATAAAAAAAATACATTTTTACAAACCAAGTACATTTATATATATAAAAAAAAGGTTTATTGTACTTCAAATACACAAACTCAACAAATTCCTCGTTCCAAAATGAACCTTCCAAAAAAAAAAAAGACATGTCTAGCGGTGGAATACAGTTACAGGAACTACTGTGATGAGTAATCCCCCCATCTATTGCAAAGTAAATGAAAACTATATTTGCAAAAAAATAAAATTTATACAAGATGATTAAGTCAGTTGTGTCTGACAGCAACAGATGAAGGCCTCATTCTAGGGTCTGGAACTTGCTGATGCTTTTGAAAGAACAAAAAAAAAGCCTTTCCAATCGAACAAATGAAATGAAAACGGCTGTGGAGAAAAACAGATTTGAATTCCAGCAAAATATCTGCCAGTCTGCCATGAACAGTCAAAAAATACTTTCAAATGGTTATCGCAATCCAATAAAATACTATGTGACTGGGCTGTTATGGCACCATACTTTCCAGTCAAACTGACTTGAAGAAATCAGACAGCTTCAGACGATGCAAATCATTTGAATATTCTAATAAAGCACATGACAGCTGTGACACTTAGATTAGATTTCTAGTGTGTTGGATAGATAACCATTTTTTAGCACAATCCTGGTCTTCATTTTATTTTTCTCCTTGTGTACATGAAGTTGTTTTTTTCCTTTTTCTTTTTTTGCAGTTGTTTTTAGGAGAATGACCCAAGATAAACCTTGTGGTTTTGCTCATGCAGTTGTTCTGAACAGTTGGTATGAACATATATCCACGTATGGGATGTCCTGTTATTTTGTGGTTCTTCGTGCAGGCTCTGAGGCAGTTGGTGGAGGTGGTGGGCCACGTCTATCAAGATCGTCTACATAGGATACAATAAGTTTACGTCTCTCCTCAGGAATGCAGTCAAGTACTAGATAGCGTTTGTCATTTTGTAGAATCTTTTCAACGTCTTTCAGATGCTGGTCAGATTCTTGCACTAATTTCTTTGACCTAAAGGGGAAAATCCAAAATCATTAGTTTGATACAATTCACAGCAAACTAAAAGAAACATTCTTTCACTTGAAAAGAAGTAGGGTTTGATTCCACATTGGGGCATTACAGCGATCTAGAACTAGTCCTACTGTAAAAACTGGAACTCTCTTCTGAGTCAAGTGCATTCATATATTTCCATACAGAATGCATTAGGAGAGTTTTCTAAAGGCATTTCAAATAGAACAAGAAGTTCATCTAACTGCAATGCACAAGCTGCCATACTATCATAACAGTATTGATCTGGCAGGGAATCAAATAGTTCACTTTATACATGTTATACATTCTATAATCTTTAAGATGTAATCAAAAGCAAAGCACACAATTAAACATGTTGCTGTTTTCAGAGACACATTATGGATCCCTTTAACTGGCAAGTGGTAGCCCCTATGTTTGTCTATAACAGGAGTATTTGTAACCAAAATGAGGTACCAGCAAACTGAAATCTACAGTGCACCTTAATAAAACAAATGAAACGAATCATATGCACATATCCCCTCTGGTAACATTATATGCTTTTTTTAATACTTGCTGGTTTTAATGGTCTCTAGGGCAGAGCGGTCGTGTGATGCTACTGGGTCATCACCCCTTGTCTCCGGGTTGGGTGGTTCTTATGGATCCAGAGAACAGTCCTGACGTGATGTCAGTGCTGCTGGCTGCACCAGTACACTGTGAATGAAGGGGCCTACGTTGATGGCCCACTCAGGGAGCGGGACTAAGATGTCCAGCACTCACAATTTGTGGTCAGTCTTCTGGGTTGAGGGACACTGGATGTCATTCAACTTGAAAGACTTAACCGCTCTTTGAGAACAAGAACAAGTACTACATAGGACAGCTGCGGACTGAAGCTAAGTATTAAAGGCCATGTTTACATTTTGTAAAAAAAAAAAAAAAAAAAAAAATACACATTTTTTTTGCAGGTAAAAAGCATGCATTTATTATTTTTTTTTACACTGCAACCTGTAAAGTATCTTCTAATCGTAGATGCAATGCCAGGATCCCGCCCATAAAGGGCAAGCAGTTACCAATAGGCAGGAAGAATCAATGAACTGTGTCAGCACTCTCCAGCACCCTTGCAGTTCATTGAGCACTACAAGCCTCCAGCCACAATGTCTGGTTTTACTTGTAGTCTATTAATTCTCAGGAAACTGAATGAATGATGTGGCCGTGTGGGAGAAGCCCCGAATGTCTGCGCTGTTTCCAAATTGTAACAGCGGGAGAAGAACCCCCACCCACTATGACAGACAGGAGAGAGTGCTGGTGGCGGGAGGTGGGTGCACAGAAGCATGCTAAAACCTAAATATAAGTGCAACATGCTTTGAAACATGAGCTTATCCTTTAAAGCTAGATATTTTTATTTTATACAAGACCTAGGAGACCTTTTGAAGAAAGGTTTCCTCTGGTTGGGCTTTAACATACAAATCTAAGTGGCAGAAAACATGTTTGGAATATTAAAACAGCCCCTTCTAGTGCTTGGTATGATTTGTTTTTTAAATGTCAGCTTTTTATTAACGGAGCAAGAAAATATAAGGGCTTAGATCAGTACAATTACAAACCTGTAAGTAATAAACTTTGTTTCTTTCAAAAGTGTTCGGAAGTCAGCTTTGGCAGTTATGTGTTTATCTCGGATATATTCTTCAAATTCTCTTTGCCTTTTCTGCAAATACAAATATAAAAATAAGTCCAGCACTATTGAGAGATAAAAACATGACCAACAGAAACATAATATGGCAATATTTTTTTTCATACACAGATTATGAATGGATTCGCTTTGTTAGGCACCTTTAAAAGAGAAATGCAGCTTTCAGCAAACACACATTCTGAGCGAATGTTGTAAAAATAATCTGAAAATAATTTCTGATGTGGCAAACAGATTTGCAGATTTTACATCTAGCAGCAATCTGTGCATCTAACAAGCCAAGTAAGGCATTTTACTGCACTACACCTGATATAACAGAATATGACTGCCATTTCCGTTCAGTCCAAGCAGACATATGTACAGTGAGTATAGAAAAGAATCACCCCTTTTAACCACCTCCTGCCCGCCATATAGTCCAATGATGGGCGCAAGGTGGTTTCTCTCATATGATGTCCGCCCATTCTCACCGTGCATGCGCGGCTCAGGGAGCGCGCAGCGCGGCGATGCGCTGTGTCCCTCGGAGACAGCGGATCACCGATCCACGGAAAGAGCCGAAGATGTCGGCTCGGTCATGTGATCAGCTGTGTCCAATCACAGCTGATCACATGTAAACAGGGAAATGCCAGTTATCGGCATTTCTCTCTTCACGAGCTGTCACACTGACAGCTCGAGAGGAGAGCCGGTAATCGGCATTCTGCGGAGGGGACATCTACACTGATCATCAGAGCACTGATGATCAGTGTAGCCCCAGCAGTGCCAGCTGTCAGTGCTCATCAGTGCCACATCAATGCCACATATCAGTGTCCATCTGAACTGTCTTTCAGTGTCAGCCATCAGTGCCAGTCAGTGCCACCTATCAGTGCTGCCAATCAGTGCCACCTATCAGTGCTGCCAATCAGTGCCACCTATCAGTGCCACCTATCAGTGCCACCTATCAGTGCCACCTATCAGTGCCACCTATCAGTGCCACCTATCAGTGCCACCTATCAGTGCCACCTATCAGTGCCACCTATCAGTGCCACCTATCAGTGCTGCCAGTCAGCGCCACCTATCAGTGCTGCCAGTCAACACCACCTAACATTGCCATATATCAATGCTGCCTTCCAATGCCCATCAGTGCCACCTACCAATGCTTCCTCATCAGTGCCACCTATCAGTGTCCATCAGTGCAGCCTATCAGTACCCATCACTGCAGACTCATTGGCGCACATCAGTGTAGGAGAAAAATCACTTTACAAAATTTTATAACAAAAACTGAGAAAAAAAGTTGTTTTTTTTTCAAAATTTTCAGTGGTTTTTGGTTTAAGAAAAAAAATAAAAAACCCAGAGGTGATTAAATACCACCAAAATAAAGCTGTCACAACAAAAATTATAAAAATTTCATATGGGTACAGTGTTGCATGACCGCACAATTGTCATTCAAAGTGTGACAGTGCTGAAAGCTGGAACTTGGCCTGGGCAGGAAGGGGGTATAAGTGCCCTGTAGGCTTGTGGTTAAAAAATAATTCTGTTGCTTTGCAGTCTGAAATGAAGACAGACACAGTTTTTGTTTTATCCAGCTGTATTTACTCAGTGCAACTTATAACATCCAACCGACAGATATAACTCCAACATGTCAGAAATATTATTTTTTAAAAATTCAAAAACAGAATCACCGAGTTGGAAAAAGGATCACCACCCAACCCTCTTAAAAATGAGAACTTTATCCCAGAGATCTTTTGACAGTACCTTGCCACCCATAGTTGATGGTTTGCTTCAGCTGCACTACCAGAGACTGAAATGCTCCAGGAAAGCGCTTTTCATGCTAAGCTAATCAAAATGACCACAGCCAATAACAGCTGACAGTCAAATGGCTTTGTGTGCAATTGAGAAGGTGATTAGCGACACCTGTTTGTGTTTACAAGTCATTTAAAGGAGGGGTCGATCCTTTTTCCAATTCAGTGATTCTGTTTTTTAATTACTTTTATTTTTTTCTGACATGTTGGTGTTTTAGCTCTTTCACGTGGATGGTCTAAGCTGCACTGAGTAAATACAACTGGATAAAAAAAAAACAAAAAAAAAAAAACACTGTGTGTCTTCATTTCAGGATGCAAAGCAACAAAATATGATTTGAAAGGGGGGGGGGGGGGGGATTATTTTCTATACCCACAGTGAATCAATAAGGTAGAATAGCAAAGCTGTATTTTATTACACAGCAGAAAACAGCATGCATAATGTGCAAATATGGTTTCCCCAGGTACAAATAATATAAAATTAAACTCTATAAACAGAAACAAGCTGTTAAAGACATTACCATACCATTACGGTTATTTACAAAGTGAAGTTACCAGAAAAAAATGTGAGTTATTGGCACATGGCCTACTTCATTCTAACCCTGTGCTTGGATGTATGTGACATGTAGAACAGGGAGCTCGCGATTGTGAACCGTAAAAAAGAAAAGAGAATTACTTTCTGGTTTATAGAGGGACACAGGAATTTAGATATAGTTTGGGTTATACTGCCTAGAGGACAGAAAAATTGCAAGCCAGCCCCCAAATAACTCCTCTACCCAGCATGCCTCAGTTTTTTTTTGCTTGTGTCCTAGGAAGATGTTAGCTCTGCTGAAAAAAAATTGTTCAATAAAGATTCTTTGCTACATGGTTGAATGAGCTGGTCTCTACCTTGCAGGTGACTGGATCAGCCATTCCTAAGCCTGATTTTGGAGTGCTGTATCTGGGCCCTGTTGGATTGGAAGTGCATAGCTAGCTTGGCATGTGACCTTCGGGCATTGTGTGCAGAATTGTGACAATTCCTAGACCTCTGTGTAATGGTAAACGTTAGCCACTTTCTCTGAAGATTCGCTTTGTAAGGCATTATTGAACCGCTTGGTACCTATTTCTAATTCCAACACTGATAACGTCATTGCAGTAAAGGGTTAATGCTAAGGAACAGAGTGCTGATGTCCTTTGCTGGATTGCATTAGTGTGCACTCTCTACATTCTTTTTCCTGCCATATTGTATAGATGAGGCACAACCCCAATGTTGTTCTGCTTCAAAGCACCACATGGAACTCCAGTCCATTCTCACAGCCTTCCTACAGTGACCTGGTCAGCTCTGGGTGCACAACCCTCAGCACCAGGTGCCCATGTCCGTAAGTAACTGATGCACTGCCTCTTACTTTGGACGTAGTTGCATTACTGCAGATGCGATATGTCTGCATATAGACACAGAGGAGGCTTTTTCTGCTGCTCTGAGGACCCCACAGTCCATACTGCTATAGAGTTTCTAGGGGTGTCTACTCGATATCCTCTGAGGGAATTGGCCCCTGCAAACTGGAACCTGGTGCCTCTATAATGTTTAGGGACCACATCATCGGAAACTTCATCAGCTCCGTTGGGTGAGGCCAAGTCCCCTATCCTATTGTCAGGGACCTCTCCACATGCATGTAATTCTATCTGTGCCATTCCCCAACCCTTGGAAAAGGCCTGACCACTGGTCCCTGTGACTATCTCTGACTCAGATTCCCAACAGTCTGTCTTTTTGAGGCACCACAATCTCCTGCAATCACCTCAGAATTAAAAGTTTTTCTTCTTTTCTTTAGATCTTATTGATATAATGCATACTACCCTACATTTGGAAGATTAGCCTGCTGTCACCAGCCTTGCCTACTGCACCCACTATTCAAAGTATTCCTCTATGAAGTCAGAAGTACATGGCGAGCACTAGAAATTTGGAGCAGCTTGCACTAAAAAGGGGAGTGACAAACCCAAAATATAAATAAATCAGAACAGTGCAGAACATAAAAAATATGCAAATAAATATGTAATTACCAAAATCAATAAATAAAATATTATAAAATCAATTTTAACATACAGATAGTGCTCAATAAAGCGCCAAGTGCAGTAATACAACAGAAGTCCTTCTGGTGACAATTCTATAAAGATCTCCAGTGAAACTATTCACCAGTACTTCAGTTGGCTGAAAGTTTGCTGGAGCGGACTGGACCGCAGGGGAGGCCCGGCCTCGATGTTCTGTGAGGAGTGGGAAGACTCCTGGGTGCACTATCAGTGGTATTGAGGAGTGAGAGACGGAGGTTCCCTATTTATTGAGCTCCAGGCTACTGATGAGTTGGCCTTCTGGTGAGTGCATGGTGGTGGAGGACCTTGCACAAGAGAGAAGCACTGTTTTGGATTCAGCAATTTTTGGAATGGTTTCACTGGAGATCTTTATAAGACTGTCAACAGAAGGTCTTTTGTTATATTACTGCACTTGACACTTTAATGAGCGCTATCTGTATATTAATATTGATTTATATCTTATTTATTTTGTTAATTACATATTTATTTGCACATTTTTAATATATGTTTTATGCGGTGCACTGTTCTGATTTATTCCTCTATGAAGACTGGAAGTACCCTGAAGGGTCCTGAGCCCCACTTGCACTAGAAAATGTTCCCCTTTAAGAAGGAGTTTGTTAAATGCTGGTCTATTTCCACCGTCGATGTACCAGTGACTCACCGTAACATGGAAAACACTAAAATCCCTCCTTAACTACCTGCCGACCGCAGATAGCCGAATGACGGCTGCACTGCGGCCGGCCAGTTCTGAGTGGACATCATATGATGTCCTCCCAGAACGCGCTCTCCTGCGCGCCCCAGGGGGCGCGCACCCGGCGATCTCTGTGATCGCTGTGTCCTACGGACACAGCTGATCACGTGATGTGGTAAAAGGCCAATCACAGCGGCCTTTTACCACGTGATCAGCGGTGTCCAATGACACGCTGATCACAGGGAAATGCAAGTGCCGGTTCTCGGCTGCACTTTCCTCACGCTGTCAGATCGTGAGGAAAGTACTGCCGAGAACCGGCAGTTGTCAGAGCGGGGATCGGCACCGATCATCAGGGCACTGATGATCAGTGCCCTGATGATCGGTGCCCAGCAGTGCCACCCGCAAGTTCCGCCCACCTGTGCCCAGCAGTGCGCCCACTAGCTCCGCCCTCCTGTGCCCAGCAGATCGCCCACCTGTGCCCAGCAGTGCACCCACCTGTGCCACTCTGTAGTGTCACACCTGTGCCCAGAAGTGCCACCTACCTGTGCCCAGAAGTGCCACCCACCTGTGCCCAGAAGTGCCACCCACCTGTGCCCAGAAGTGCCACCCACCTGTGCCCACCAGTGCCACCCACCTGTGCCCACCAGTGCCACCCACCTGTGCCCACCAGTGCCACCCACCTGTGCCCACCAGTGCCACCCACCTGTGCCCACCAGTGCCACCACCAGTGCCCACCAGTGCCGCCCACCAGTGCAGCCCAGCAGTGCTGCCAGTCAGTGCTGCCAGTCAGTGCCCAGGGGTTGTGCCAGTCAGTGCCCAGCAGTGATGCCAGTCAGTGCCGTCTATCAGTACCCATCATCAGTGTCACCTATCAGTGCTGCATATTAGTGCCGCCTATCCGTGCCACCTCATTAGTACTGCCTATCAGTGCCCTTTAGTGCTGCCTATCAGTGCCCATCAGTGCCGCCTATCAGTGCCCATCAGTGCTGCCTCATCAACGCACATCAGTGAAGGAGAAAAAATGCCTGTTTGAAAAATTTTATAATAGAAACAAAGAAACTTTTTTTTTTCCAAATTTTTTGCACTTTTTTTTATTTATAGCGCAAAAAGTAAAGCGCCCAGTGGCGATTAAATACCACCAAAAGAAAGCTCTATTTGTGAGAAAAAAAAGATCAAAATTTCATATGGGTACAATGTTGCATGACCGCGCAATTGTCAATCAAAGTGCGGCAGCGCTGAAAGCTGAAAATTGGCCTGGTAAATAAGGGGGTATAAGTGCCTGGTAGGCAAGTGGTTAAATAACGGTTTGATCTGGCAGGTTCTACCCTCCGTCCTGTGTTGGCAGTGACCTTAATCCCACCTCCCACCCCTTCTCCAAGGACATCCCCTTTACTTGGAGTTTGAAGAACTACCTGACCTACAAGGTCAACCAGAACCAG